ATCAGATTGGTTAAGCCACATGGGCAGTGTCATTAGGTGCAACCTCAGTTATCATCATTCTGTCCCTTCTGGTTCTCAAAAGAGAAGCAAGGAGCTTGGTCAGGTGCCCTCCATGCTGGAGCAGTTGCTCTGCTTTGAACCTGGGTGAGACTTTGAACCTGACTGACCTCACTGTATTGGTTCTGTTCTGTCGTTGTGCCACTCAGGACCCTCAGCACTGCGTAGGTCTCTTGCCTCACCTAGGTCTCCTGACCACCACACAGGTTGTAGGAGGTTCTCCACCCAGTTCCAATTTCAACCTCCGCTAAATCTTCCCATATTGGGACTGCTCATTCTGTTCTTCTCACAAGAGCGTTCAGGTCACTGATCCAGCTGCCTGCTCCAAACATGTTAAGTGTCCTTAAGGAGAATTGTATTCATCTGGGAGCAAATGAGCAGGAAGAGCAATGCGTGACAACTCTGCTTCCTCTTCTGAATAATGAATGAAGGGCACTTAGAAAACCTGGGATTCCACCGTCTGACACCCCCACTATCTTCAGAAGCAGGTTTTCTCCTCTGGTCACTTTAACATCGTTTTCTGTCAACTCAGAACTCAAGTTCTTTATTGACAGAAATTGCTGCCAAAGCCAGATTTTCTTAATCTCAGCAATGGCTGTAAACCCCATTCCTTGCCCCTTTTGCCCATCTTCTCTCTTCTTTACTAATTCCTAGAGCTAAGCCTTCTGGAACCTCACCCTCGTCACAAACAGATTTTCACCTTTAAAAATACCTGGACTGCTTTACCTTTACCCAAACATGGCTTTCCCAATATGGCCTTGTTCATAACCACTCCAAAATCTCGCTTCTAGTTGCTGAGATTAACACGTATTATTCTGTAGCCTAGTAGACATCTAGTAAATGCTTATCCCCTTGGCTGCCACCCACTCATGAGCCTGTGAAAATGAACTTCCTTACTTGACTCTCCAGTGAGGTATTGTTCATACCCACTTCAACAACTCCTTCTCTAAAGTTTAGGCCAATGTAAAACTTTCAAGCTTTCTGGCTCCTTTTCTATACTCACCATCAATGTCATTTCCAGTTGAATCATCCTCAAGTCACCAATCTTATCTTCCTATAGAGTTTTCAAAACACATAAAGTTATCCTAAAATGTGAGCCAGATACTCAAATGTTATCAAATTGTTTACTAATTCTACAATATCTGGTGTTTCTCTGTATTCCCAGATACCTCACTCTGCTCCTGGTATTGTGAGGTTGAAAGCAAGTAAATTACATAATGTGCTGAAACTGGGTACTTAGACCTGGAGTAATCATCAATCTCACTGATCTTAAGAACGACCAAAGTGTCTGAGGAAAGATCAAAGGTACAAAAAGCAGTTCTACTAGGATAAAGGAGGATCTGAAAGTTACCAACTTCTGGTTCATAGCAGCAACGGTGAAATAGATTTCAGTTCCTTGGTTTAAGCTTCCAAAACAACTTTCTTTGAAGAAAGCAATTCCTAGAAATTGTCAATGATCTTTCTATTTCCTTCTGATCATTGTGTTACACGTTTAAAAAAATTATAGAGATGTTTAATGCAACATCTTCAGTCTAATAAATGAGCCTTGTTTTAACACTGTGAAAGCTATTTATTCAATGTTCACTTGATATCTGCGTACCAGATGCTGTGGTAAATGCTGGGAATTCACACATAAAGACATCTCCTAGGTTAAAAAACCCTCATAATTTATTTGATGAGACAAAGTGAGAAAAGTAAAATGGCCACAAACACACAGATAACTATAACTACAAATTAAGAACATTTGCATTGACTGTTCGTATTATGTTGTATATAAAAGCAGAGCTATCAAAAGTAAAATTGGTAGAAAAAATTCCATAGCTTCCCCTTAACCTGCAATCCAATAGTACGACATTTTCCCGGAGGGACATTAACAAACATACCTCAACATTCTATAATTTTGCATAAAGATAGGTAATTTTTGTAGGAAACATGCAATATTTAAAATGAGTGAGTATCCTATGTAGAAATTTTGATGGGTTACTTCTTCAGAATGTGCAAGACTCATAAAAATGTAACAAAAAATAACAAAACACATCCTACAGTTGGTTTAGCTTGGATACTCCTTTCCTCCATTATGAACTTACCAAAAGGAGAGTTAGTTCACCTGGACCTTGAAACTCTAGGTAAACAATCTAAGTTACTGCCAAGATTCCAAGAATATAGGATANAGAATTAGTGTATACTGGGGCAACATACAACTAATAACAATGCTAAATAATATAATTTCTGATTCTAGAGCACGTACACATATATTATCTTTTTCTTTCACTTGGATTGAAGGGGAGCATTGCGTTAAACATACTCTTCGTTTCATGACATTTTGTCATTGCTCCAGTGCACGATACTTGTCCTTAATTTATTATTCTTTTATCCCCCATCCTGGAACCGACATCCATTTCCTCCCCCTTCGGCAACTTTTTTTTTTTCTTTTTAACATGTTATTTTTGTTGGTTTCTTTTTTAAGGTAGATGATTTTTTAAAGCAGTTTTAGGTTCACAGCAAAATTGAGCAAAAAGTACAGAATTCCCGTATACCTTTGCCCCCTACCTCTCCCCCCAAGTTTCCCCCACTATCAATATTCCTCCCCCCTCCCCCTAGTGGTGCATTTGTTACAATCAATGAATTTACACATCATTATCATCCAAAGTCCATAGTTTACCTTGGGTTCACTCTTGATGTTATACATTCCATGAGTTTTGACAAATGTGTAATGACATATATCCACCATTATAGAGTTATACAGGATAGTTTGCCCTAAAAATCCTTTACCTATTCATCCCTCCCTATCACTTAATCCCTGGCACCTGCTGATCTTTTTACTGTCTCCATAGTTTTACCTTTTCCAGGATGTCATATAGTTGGAATCATAGAGTCTGTAGCATTTTCAGATTTGCTTCCTTTATTTAGTACTATGTACTTGTTTCCTCTGTGTCTTTTAATGGCCTGAGAGCTCACCTCTTTTTAGTGGGAATACTATTCCATTGTCTGAATAAACCACAATTTATCCATTCACCTACTGAAGGACATCTTGGTTTTGTGCAAGTTTTGACAATTATGAATAAAGCTGCAGTAAACATCTGTGTGCAGATTTTTGTGTGAATGTAAGTTTTCAACTTGTTTGGGTAAATACCAAGGCACAGGATTACTGGATCTTATGGTAAGAGCATGTTTAGTTTTGTAGGAATCTGCCAAACTCTCTTCCTAAGTGGCTGCACCATTTTGCATTCCCACAGCGATGACTGAGTGCCTGTTCCGCATCCTTGTCAGCACCTGTCAGAGTTTTAGATTCTAACCATTCTGATGGGTGTGAAATAGTATCTCATGTTTTAATTGCAATTTCCTAGTAACGCATGATGTTGAGCATATTTTCATGTTTATTTACCATCTATACATCTTTTTTGGTGAGGTGTCCAGATCTTTTGCCCATTTTTAAATTGGGTTGTTAATTTTCTTGTTTCCAATATTTTTAC